TTTCAAGCTTAGCAACATCCTTCCCATAGTAAGGAGACTAGAATTGAAAGCAGTATTGCAAAAGTGGTTTAACCAACGTCAACCACATTGCTGTGGGTCTGGAGTCACATGTAGGCCAGACCAGATAAGGATGGTAGTTCCCTTCCCTAAAGAACATTAGTGAACCAGATGGGTTTTTCTTGACGATTGACAATGGTTTCATGGTGACCATTAGATTCCTAATTTAGAATTTTCAGTCTGCCGTGGTGGGCATTCCAATCCCAGAACATTAATAGTTCAGTAATAATACCACTAGGTCATTATTTCCCCCAATTATTTTGTCACCTCCTACTCTCTCAGTTTTTAATGCCACCTGCTATTATAGCTCTTGTTCCTTTAACTGTGATCTGCAGTTAAAAATGTTACAAAAAGCTGTTCATGCCATTTCCGTCCTCGATCATCTTGTGAGAAGCGTGTTCTTTGTGAATGCAGAATGCTTATTTTTATATAGAGAAATTAAATATGAGGAGGAGTATTTTACAACAGTACAACACAACATAAGAGAAAGTCTCAGTAATCTTTAATGTCACTGAGATAGTGAAATATATCAGTTTGCATGGCATTATGAAGTATTTTACAAGTCCAACTTGACTGTTACAAACTCAGGCACCAACACACAGACCGTTGGAGTTTGCTTATGTACATAATGAGCCTCATTTTGTCTTCCTCCAGCCTCCCTTCCAGATTCCTATCAAACTGCCATACTTGCTAGCTGACTAGATTTATCTTGGCAATAGAAAATTTCCATCAATGATTCATTATAACAGGGGACCAATTGCAGTTGTCCACTGTCCTTTCACACCTTGCATCTGAGTTTGAATCAATTCCAGCTTGGTACAATGGAAGGAGAAAAGGAAACATTTTTGTATTGCTTTAGCAAGTTATCCTATCTCTTGGATGGCCAGAAGATCTGTTTGAAGGATAAATATTGCTGAAGACACTGGGAGTATATTCATGTTCTTTGTATAACGCTGCAGTGCCAGTTCTGTGCATCTGAACGTGCAGATACAGGATCAGTTTAACATCTCATCTGAAAATGGCTCCTACAATAAAACAGTACTCTTGCAGTATGGCACTGTTCTTCTGGAATGGGGCTTGAACCCACAGCCTTCTGATTCAGAGTTGAGACTACTGCATCTGAGCACAAAATGGCCAGAAGACACACTGTTGGGTCAGGATAGAAATTGTGGTGGATTGAAAATTGCTTTGTGCACTTGGTCCATTTGAGGCGATCGTGCACACATTCCAGCAGAAGGAGTCTGCTGGGTAGGGTAATAAAGGATCTATAATAAAAACCAAAAGAACTGCGGATGCTGTAAATCAGGAACAACAACAACGTTGCTGGAAAAGCTCAGCAGGTCTGGCAGCATCTGTGAAGGAACAAACAGAGTTAACGTTTTGGGTCTAGTGACCCTTCCTCGGAACTGGATCTATGTTTAGTAGCTTTTGGAGTTCTGATGTGAAATGTCTCTGGCTAAACATACACTGTTTCTGTGACAAGAACCTGACAGAAATTGCAATGGCTGTTGTGCAGCTGAGACATGGGCCATAATGATCTCAGGTTTCGTGGCTGGTCAGAGTTGAATTTGTTCCTCTCACTCCAGGATAAAAGAATTTGCCACAGTTCGGTGGAGTCAGGGCTGTGAGAAGCCACAGATTCAGTAACTTCAACACAAAAGAAGAGAGCGTTGTGAGAATCGGATCGAGCTTCACTGTGATGTTACAATGATCAAATAGCCTCATATTCAATAATAGAAAAGCAAACTGCTGCTGATGTGCTTGAAATTCAAACAGAACATGCTGGAGAACTGAAGTGGGCTGGAGAGTGCTGGGTTTCACGCTGTGCACGCAACAGTTGATGAGGACGTCCAGAGTAAAAGGGAAAGGCAGTGCTACTTACAGTAGAGAGGAAAAATAGGCAAAGAATAGGTATTATGGCACAAAATAGGTCAGCTGTTCTAAGAGCAAACTAATGCAAAGACACTGGAGGGATGGGGAAGTGTAAGGAGGGGTGGTAATTAAAATGGAGAGTAGTGTTTGTGCTCTCAAGCTGTTGAACTCAATGTTGAGTCCTGAAGGCTGTGGAGTACTTTTCCTTCAGCTTGTGTTGGGCTTTGCTGGAACACTGCGCAGAATTATAAACCTGAGAGCGAAATGGTGTATTGAAACAGAAAGCAGCTGGAAGGTTGGGATCTGATTCACTGCCTAGGCTGACACATGAGGGATGGTCGCTAGACATTAATGGTGCTGACATGAGTCAGTCAGTGCAAGACTTAAAGATCTTGAAGGTTGCAAGTCCTGGACGTGTAGACTGAGAGCACTGAGCAACCTTTCCAAGTTCCTATCATTCTCTTGCCCTTTATTTAAACTCTAGTTCAGAGTATATATGTCCACCTCATAAAGGAAACATCAGTGTCCGTCATATTTAACCGAAAGTTGCAAAATTCGTTTTCTTTCTTTTCCGTCCCCATAGGTTTTAAGGGAGAAAGAGACCACTGGAAAAGTGGACGATCGGTTTGTATAAAAACACACGAGAGTGGCAAAAAGGAAATTGAATCTTTCGATGCTGCAATCCTGCTCATCCGGAACCCATATAAAGCACTAATGGCTGAATTTAACCGGAAGTATGGAGGACATGTTGGCTTTGCATCTGAAGCTCACTGGCGGGGAAAAGGTATGATCTACAATCTTATCCTTTCATTGTTCCTAAGCCATCCATGGAGAGGATTAGTGTGTTGACTCCAACACAGATAAACCCAGAAGTCACATGACACCAGGTTACAGTCCAACAGTTTATTTGAAATCACAAGCTTTCAGAGCACTACTCCTTCATCAGGTGAAGTCACATCATGGATAAACCCAAGGGAAGGTTGAAAACCCATAGTGTAGGCTCATCACTAAAGATGATTGCGTTCACATACTTGCCCCATATCTCAAAGTGCAGCCAAAGGAGCACTTTTCAAATGTAGTCACTGCAGAAATGTAGGAAACTTGGTGGTCAGTTTTGCAAATAGCAAGTTCCCACAGACAACACAATGATACGAGCCTGATAACCTGGTGTTATGATGGCGATTGAAAGATAAATACTAGCCAGTACACAAGAGATAACTCTCCTACTGTTCTTTGAGAAAGTGCGATGGGATCTGCTACATTCTCCTAAGCAAGCAGAGGGGGGATCTATGCCCCTAGAGGGGTTCAAGCTGAAGTTATAAGATTAAAAGAGACTAACGTGCATTTATGCATAACCTTTAACCACAATTGTATGTCTCAGCGCCTTCACAAGAGCATAATCAAACAAAATTTAACACTGAACCATGTGATTATGCATTAGTTCAGGTGATGAAGGTTTTTTTAAAAGCAAGAGGTGATAAAGATAGAGAGCTGGAGAGGTTTAACAAGAGAGTATCAGAGCTGAGGGAGTAGGCAGTGAAGGAATGGTCTTCACTGATGGAGCAATGAAAAATGGGGGATGCACAAGAGGTTAAAATCACTGGAGCATTTGCAGAGGCTGGAGCAAGTTACAGAAAGAGGGAGGAATGAGTCCACCGAGGGACTTAAAAATCACAGTGTTGCCAGACTAAGAGCCAAGGTAAGTGTGGAAGAAACTGAGGACATGAGGCCCAGTTCGAAGACTGAAGATTCAGTAAAGTCTTGGGCCAGCAATGTGGCTGATACCATAAGACAGGAAGTGATGAGCTCCTGTTTCCCCTCTGGTAAATCAGCATAACTCTCAACATACCTCCCACAGTCACTCAATATTTACTGATTCCATATTTCAACTCATACTGCCATGGAGAATGACATTGGAAGGTGAAGCTAAAAACCGCACTGATTAGAAGTAGGATGTCAGTCTTCCTGATGCTTCAAACACAGAACTATATGTTTAACTACAACTGCTCAATTTACAACAGTGGAAGAGTGAGTTCTTTCCTGAAGATGTGTGTGTGGCCTTTAGGCCAACAGGATGTAATCAGAATGTAATTGGTGTCATTGCAATTGTGTCCTGACTCAATGTGTGAATATTTATCAGCAGGTTTTTAAAAACTCAGAGTGTTCCTGTGTATAATTAACATATTTTGATTACGACTCTGTAAAGGTAGATTTTATATGTTGTTGACTACAGGTCAACATTCTAACTTCTTATAATTAGTTTCTAATTTCTACATCTAATTCTACTTCCTCCCCAGAGGTTTGAAACTTTAGAACAGTAACCCATTCTGTCTCTGCTTGATTACCAGGATTTTGCACGGTAATGCCTTTGACATGATTTTTCAGGACACAGTCATAATCTGTACAAACAGCTGCGTTCCCTTGTCACCAATTCCTCTCCTCTGCCATTTCAGTTCGAGCCAGATCGTACCCACTGTGGCTATGCTTCTGACCTCCAGCTGAGATTCTGACCCATATCCTTCTCCGTCACAAAGACGATCCTGATGCAAATGGGGTTTTTCTCGTGAAAATTGGCAATGGTTTCATTGTCGTTAATGAGAGCAGCATTTATTTGCAGATTTATTAATTAAACTCAAAATTCCACCAGCCGCTGTGGTGCTGTTTGAACCTCTTGGTCCCAGAACGTTAAAACAAAATAAAACAAACAACTGCAGATGCTGCCAATCTGAAACACACACGAACTGGAACTGCTGGAGAAACTCAGCAGGTCTGGCAACATCTGTGGAGAGAGAAACAGAGTTAACATTTCGAGTCCAGTGACCCTTCTTCAGAATGTGGATGTCTTTGGCTAGGCCAATATTTATTACCCTTTCCTAATTGCCCAGAGGGCATTTAAGAGTCAACCATGTTGCTGTGGGTCAGGCGACTCTTAATTCCAGGTTTTGTTTTCTTTCTAATCTAAAGCACATTCTGCTATGACAGGATTTGAACTCAGGTCTGCAGAACAATACCTAGGTCTCTGAACAATAGTTTAGCAACAACACTGATAGACCATTGGCCATTGCCATTTGCAGCCATAATTCGAAGAGAGAAAGACTCAGATTTTTCGTATTGTTCAGATGTTGCAACATGCTTTCGAAGCACATTTGAAAAGTAATCACTACCACAATATTGAGAAGATGTCAGCAAATTTGTGCACAGTAAGATCACACAAACAGGAAAGTGATAGTGATCAGATAATCTGTTCATTAGCAAATGCTGGGACCATTTCAGAGGCAGCTAAGTCTTGGGCAGTTTGCACTGAGCCTCAAATTACATGAAGACCAGACTGGGGTAAGGACAACAGATTTCCTTCCCTGAAGGACATCACCACCAAATCACCCATGGTTCCAAATAAGAGAACACTTTACAAGCGTAGCCCATTGAGGGGAGTGCAACAACAGCAAAATTGGTGGGAAATTAGGAACAAGAGAGGGAACTAAATTAAAACAGAGTTGGAGGAGCTCTAAAGGTATTGAGAGTTTTGATGGACACTGTGTGCTCCCTTTCCAAGGATGCCTGAACACAAACATGACTGAGGAAGAGGAACAGACAATTGACAGATATGATCCCATCCACAGCCTGCTGCCTGGACCTGTTAATAGTGACAGAAGGAGATCCCAGATGAGTTTTTACAACAATTATTGAGATTAGCTTTATTTTCTTGACTTCTAATCATGTGATTGAATTTGAATCCTACCAGCTACCATGACGTGGTTTGAACCCACGTCCCTAGAGGCAGCATCATTCCAGAGCCTTTGGGCTACTAGCCTGGTGAGATTACCTTTATGTCACCGCTGACTTCCCCATTTAAATGGACAATAGTCGCATTTCTCCCAGTGTCAGATCCCAAGTCAGCCTTCAGTTCAACCAGAGTTTGTATTGGTCAGTTAAATTGGAGCAGATTCGCTTGCTAGGTTTCCCTGGAATATTGAGCCTAGACTCCCAAAGAACGTTTGCAACTGTGCCTGGTGCTAGATGCTATTGTCTATCTTTTACGTGCTCCAGGGTTGCATAAGCTGGAAGTTTGAAACCGCTGTGATGTGTGCAGTAGACAAATGACCACTGGGACAGAAACAACATTTCTGTAAACTGTCGCTGGATGCTGAATGTTCTCCATTTAAATCTTTGACCTTTGTTGTTCCCTGTATGTCACACTGTGGTCTCACAAGATTAATGGAGATTGGGGTTGCTCTGACATTTAACATCGATGAAGTGCAGCTAGCATGGAAAGATTTATATCTCAGGTAGAAATTGGTGCCTGGGTCATAAGCTTTTGCTTAAGTTTCATTCTCACTGTAAAAACCTTTCAATTATTGACTCCAGTATTGACATGTACTTAGTATGGGCGGAATGGTGGCTCAGTGGTTAGCACTGCTGCCTCACAGCACCAGGGACCTGGGCTCGATTCCAGATTTGGGGGCTCTTCTGTGGAGTTTGCACATTCTCCCTGTGACCACGTGGGCTCCTTTTGGGTGCTCTGGTTTCCTCCCATGGTCCAAAAATGTGCAGACTAGGTAGATTGGCCATATGCTCAATTACCCATAGTGTCCAGGGATGTATAGGCAAGGTGGATTTGCCATTGGAAATGCAGGGTTAAGGGAATGAGGATGCTCTTTCAAGAGCTGGTATGGACGTGATGGGCTGAATGGCCTGTTTCCCCACTGTAAGGATTCAATGATACATCTAGTATGTATTAAAATAATTGTTGTACAGGACTATCAAATTCCATTTCTCTCTAACTTGAAACAATTGACCTCAGAACACTTTCTGTAATCTTGAGGAAAACAGCTAGGAGGTACATGTATGCAAACCAACATTCCCTCTCTGCTGTAACATCAAAGCAAAATATTGTGGATGCTGGAAATCTGAAATAAAAATCAAAAGTGCTAGAGAAACTCAGCAGGCCTGGCAGCATCTGTGGAGAGAGAAACAGAGTTCATGTTTCAGGCTGAGATTACCTTTCATTTGAGTTGAAGGAAGATGGTGTCATTAAATTGTCTTAAGTATATTTACTAGCAGGTAAGTGACTGAGTTAGGAATATTTCACTATGTTAAATGCACTAGCAAGTTTGAAACTAATTTATATTCGCTTAACAAGAAAAATTTGGAAAGGAGTAGAATTATTGCTTTAGATTCAAAACGTAAATGATCTGTGCAAATGGTTACTCAGGAAAACGCATTAATAAAATCACGATACAAGAAGTAGACTTAAGGCATCAATACCAGATGGTTCTGTTCTGTGGTTCCTTCAAAGCAAACTCCACGTGTGACCTAAAGTATTGTATTTAGATTTTAAGTCCTGAAGGAAGTTTTTCTCAGCCGGAGACATTAACTCACCTCTCATTCTGCACATACTACCCGAACTGCAGAGTATTACCAGCACTTGTTCATTTCCCTCTATGATGGGTGGCACGGTGGCTCGATGGTTAGCACTGCTGCCTCACAGCACCAGGGACCTGAGTTCAATTCCACCCTCGGGCAACTGTGTGCGTGGAATTTGCACATTTTCCCTGTGTCTGTGTGGGTTTCCTCCAGGTGCTCCAGTTTCCCCCCACAGTGCAAAGATGTGCAGGTTAGGGTGGATTGGCCATCCTTAATGGCCCCATAGTGTCCAAGGATGTTTAGGCAAGGTGGATTGGCCATGGGAAATGCAGGGCAACAGGGATGGGGTGGGTCTGGTTGGGATGCCCTTCAAAGGGTTACGTTGGACCCAATGGGCTGAATGGCCCGCTTCCACACTGT